CAGTAAATTGATTAGTAGTATTTCAATTATATTAATTAGATTAAATTATATATATTAAATTATATATTATATATATTAAATTAAACAGATAAATAAATTGATATTCAGTTAATACATGGGTATTTTTTTTTTTTTTTATACTTAGTGACAAAATAGACTAATTAGATAAGTCGTAAAGTAGAATGCTAAGAATATATTTATGGCGGTTATTGTTGCTAAGGGTGATTAATAGGCAAATAAATTAAAAGCTAATCAGAGCTTTGAATAAATTATAAACTAATCAGGGAAGTTTTATTGGTAAACCTAATAAATAGGAAGATAATTTATAATTCAGGTAGACATTGTTTTCACTTTTTCGCCAAACTTTGATATCTTTGATATTAAAAATGACCTTTCCAATAACTATAGATGGTAGTGTATTAACCTTTTTTTTCGGAACCACAATCCGTAATGATTTGTATTTTATCAATGTGAACGAAAGTCTTTTCAAATATCTAAATATGTAAACTTTAAGTTCTTTAATTATCAATCAATATAATTATAAAGTAGATGACATCAAATTCTACCGATTTATTTTTACTTAATAATTTCGTTGCGACAATATCTCTTTATTTTAAAGCATTAAATGTTGTTTTTTAAAGTTTAATAAGTTTTCTGTTTATTAAATAGTGTAAAAAGATGATAAAGCATTCCAAAGCGATTGAAGTGCTTCGCATGTTCAAAACCTTTTGCTTACACATTTTTTTTTAAATCCTATCCAGTTTTCTAGAAAACAAAGAAAAACTAGGTTAAATGCATATAGATGTTATACGCGTTACATAAAAATAAAGATATAATATACTATAAGAAACCAAACAAAGAGAATTTTTTAAAACGTTTTTTAAAATTTTTAAAAACATAAAAACGCTGTTGGAAATTTGTTGCGCATATATCATGATAAAGATACTTATGTTTTACGTAATTAGTTAAAACTGCAAGTTCAACACACACTAAAGAGATAAATTTCTTTCTTATATATATAAAAAAAAGGTTTTACATGCAATCTGAAATTTTTATTAAAACTAACTGGTCAAGAGTCCTAAAAAGTACGGAAAGGTATGAAAAAAAAAATTGTAATCTGAAACCTAAAAAAAAAAATTTAGTTACTCCAGAAGGTGACAAACAGAAAACCCACAAAATTTCGCCTAATCCGCTAATATAAATGCTCAAATATTAAGATATAAACAAATATTAAATGATTTTTGTTTTACGAAACGTACGCCAACTCTTACACCACTGTAAAACTACCTTGCGGTTATCTAATTATATCCACCAAATCCGTTAATAAAAACAGCTTAATTAATAGATTCAAAACCATCTGATTTTTGTATTATGATATGTGCGCCAACTGTACTCTAAAACCAATAAAACTCGGCCATGTGATCTTCATATCGATTATAACAATTGCAAAGCGAGGGACAACAAGTAAGTTGTATCTACAAGTTTAATTATTGTAATCTTCATTTAAAAAATTCAACTTATTTTATAATTTCCATGTTAATATGTTTGGAGTTAATATGTTTTTGACCCAAGAATAAACATTAAGATTATTTTTTAGAAATGAGCAGCCAAGATACAAAAGGTATTCTTTTAATTTTGTATAACATTAATTAATTAAAGAGATAAAAAGAGATAAGACGTCAATAATACTGAGATATTTAGCTTATTATTTTATTAAGAAATTATATTAAGATAATTTTGTATATCTTTAGGCGACGAAGAAGTTTCTGCATTTTTTCGAAGTAAGCCATATATATATACTATATATAGTAGCAGTTACATATGTTCTAAAAGTGGCGGAGCTGTACTTGATTTACGGTGGGAATAAAACGATGATTTAATTTAGCCGTTTTTAATTAAAATCAAACAAGATATGCCGCCCTACCCTAATCCCGTGAATCAAGTACACCCCCCTAAAAAATTAATCAAAATTAAAAAATATATAAATTAATTTTTAGGACTTTAAAAGGGTGGACCCAAAACTCAGTTTTTGTTTATTCCGCTATTTTGATTAATGTTTTTGTAAGCCAGTAAACCTTAAAAACGCGTATAAGCTTTATTTAAGGTGTTTAAGCTATAATTTTATAAAACGTGTTTAAGCTAAAATTGACTTTTAAGTCTTCTAACTACTAAACCTTTTCGTAAATTGAAACTTTTTGTCATTTACTGAATGTGTTAAATTATAAAACTGTGCAACAGTTTTATAATTTAAGACAAATCTTATATGTTTAATTGAAAAAGTGAATATTTTGAAAATTAATTTTGTCTATATATATATATTAGATGTTCAAGCGATTAGAGCCGAAGAGCTTTTGCCAAGTAAGCTAATTTTGTATGAGAAGGATATGTTACAAAGATATATATTTCACCAATTTCATCAATTAGTAAATTATAACTTTTTTTTAATGTTTAGCGGAAGTAATGGACAAGCTAAGTCAGGAATTTTTTTTTTGTTGTTTTTTTTTTTTTTTTTTTTTTTGTTTGCAAATACAGTTATGCTTTTATAGTTTTTTTAAAGTTATTTAGCAACTGACTTTTGTCAGTTGTGACAGTTTGTCAGTCAGCAAGTGACTTTTGTAACTATTAAATTTATTTTATTTAGAAAAATTAGAAGATTCTGTTGAGAATCTAAGTAAGCAATTTGTTATTGTTGTTGTCATGCTCTTTATTTTTTTTATTACATATTTATTTAACATAAAGTTATTCTATATTTGGCAAGTTAGTTTATTTTAATGTTTATAAGTTTTTTATTTTATTTAGAAAAGTTAGAACATTCAATGGGTAAACAGAATTTGATTATATTACATTTGTGTATTATAGATAAAGATATAGCATTTTACTTTCAAAAAAAAAGGTGTATTCTATGGTCTTTTAGCATTTTTGATACAATTTTTAGCATTTTTTTTTATAGAACTTATATTTTAACAAGTTAGTAGGTTACTATATTGTTGTTGTGGATTGTTTCTTTGTATTTATTTTTTATTTTTTTTGTCGCTTTTTTCTTTTTTGGTTTGCTTTGTTTTGTGATTGTTTTTTTTGCCTTTTGTTTTGTTCCAACTTTATTTATAGATTTCCTAAAGATAACAAATATTCTGCATGTTAGTTTTTTTTTTAATGTTAATAAGTTTTTTTTTATTCTATTTAGAAAATTTAGAAAATTCAATTGGTAAGCAATGTACAATTATGTTTCTTTTTGTTTAATTTAAACACACATTTTTGATGTTTGCGTGCGGTTTTATCACTCTAAAACAAACTGTTTAATTGATTAGTATATGTTAGTTTATGTGAATATATTTTTTACCTCCACTATAGCGTCATCTGCAGTACCATCAGGTAATGTGTTTTGCATACTTATGCAGTTTTATGAGTGTTATTTGTTTTAAGTGTTAAGTGTTTGAATTTTTTTGTCTCTACATTAGCCCCTCAAGCAATAATATCAGGTAATTTGTTTAGCATACTTATGCAGTTTTATAGGTTTTATGTGTATTGAAACTTAGGCATTACTGTTTTCATGCAATTACATAAATGTTTAACATATGTTACTTTATACACTTTTTTTTATTTTTATTTTTACAATAGCACCAATGTCATCATATACAGTACCATCAGGTAATGTGTTTTGCATACTTATGCAGTTTTATGAGTGTTAGGTGTATTGAAACTTAAACATTAATTTTTTCATGTTTGTAAACAATTACATAAATGTAAAATAAATGTTACTTTGTACACTTTTTTTTTTTACTTTCACAATAGCATCAATATCATCTGCAGTACCATCAGGTAATGTGTTTTGCATACTTATGCAGTTTTATAAGTTTTATGTGTATTGAACTTAAACATTACTTTTTTAATGTTTGTGAACAATTTCATAAATGTATAACATATGTTACTTTATACACTTTTTTTTTTTTACTTTCACAATAGCATCAATATCATCTGCAGTACCATCAGGTAATGTGTTTTGCATACTTATGCAGTTTTATGGGTTTTATGTTTATTGAAACTTAAACATTACTTTTTTTATATTTGTTATCATTTTCATAAATTTTTAAAATATGTTACTTTATACACTTTTTTTTTTTTTTTTTACTTTCACAATAGCATCAATATCATCTGCAGTGCCATCAAGTAATGTATTTTGCATACTTATGCAGTTTTATGAGTGTTATGTGTATTAAAACTTAAAGATAGCATATGTTAATTTACAGATTACTTTATTTATTTATTTTTTTGTCTCTACATTAGCACCTCAAGCAATAATATCAGGTATTCTGTTTAGCATACTTATGCAGTTTTATGGGTTTTATGTGTATTCAAACTTAGGCATTACTGTTTTCATGCAATTACATAAATGTTTAATATATGTTACTTTATACACTTTATTTTTTTTACCTTTACAACAGCATCAATATCATCTGCAGTACCATCAGGTAATGTGTTTTGCATACTTATGCAGTTTTATGAGTGTTATGTGTATTGAAATTAAACATTACTTTTTTCATGTTTTTTATTAACTACATAAATGTTTAACATATGTTACTTTATACACTATTTTTTTTTTTTACTTCTACAGTAGCATCAATATCATCTGCAGTACCATCAGGTAATGATATAATTTAATGTAAAACTTAAAGATTGCATATCTTGTTTTGCACATCACTTTATTTATTTATTTTGTTGTCTATACATTAACAACTCAAGCAATAATATCAGGTAATTCCTTTAGCATACTTATGCAGTTTTATAAGTTTTATGTGTATTGAAACTTAATTTTTTTTTTTTTATGTTTTACTGCAATTTCATAAATGTTTAACATATGATACTTTATACACTTTTTTTTTTTTTATTTTCACAATAGCATTAATATCATCTGCAGTGCCATCAGGTAATGTGTTTGTCATGCTTATGCAGTTTTATGAGTGTTATGTGTATTGGAACTTAAACATTACTTTTTTCGTGTTTGTATGCAATTACATAACTGTTTAATATATGTGTTTGTTTATATACTTTTTTATTTATTTCCGCAATAGCAGCTGTATCAACTGCAGTACCACCAGGTTATGTTTTTTCCATACTTATGCAGCTTTTCTGTACTTATGCAGTGTTATGTGTATTGAAACCTAAACATTACTTTTTTCATGTTTGTATCCAATTACATCAAAAAAATAACTATTTAATATATGTGTTAGTTCATATACTTTTTTATTTATTTTTATAATAGCAACAATATCTGCAGGACCATCAGGTAATCTGTTTTGCATACTTATGCAGTTTTGTGGGTGTTATGTGTATTTGTGTAGGTGTATATGAAATTTAAACATTGCATATCCTTCTTTTTACATTACTTTATTTATTTATTTTTTTGTCATAACTTTTTCTTTTTTAAGTCTAAATAGTTTTAAATAATATTTTTATTGGTTGTTTTGTGCAGTATTGTATTCAAATTTATTTCTTATTTTGTTTTTGTTTCTTAGCATCGTATCAAGATTTCCTGCGATATTGCTCCCAGCACCCAGGTCCGATATCTCAAAGAGCTTTCTACCGGTGGAGTCAATATGGGGGAGATCATCCCTCCTTTAGATGGAGGAGACAAGCCCCATATGACACCACTGGTAGAAAGGAGGGGTGCTGGAAAGCGGTTTAACTCTTTTAATTTCTACCAGTAGCTTTTTTAAACTACTGGTAGAATTATCTTCTTTTTTATTTATAAAGAAAATTAACTTTTTAAAAAAATGTTTTTTTAAATTTCGCCATTTTAAATTATATATATTTTTACTATTTTATTTTTTTGATTTTTAATTCTGTTTTTAAATCCTTAACTTACAAAGAACTCTTATGTTATAAAAGTTTTTAATAATTTGTCTATAAGTTTTTTTATTAATTTTCGTTTTTACATCTTTTTATCCTCATTTTTAATTTTAATAATACTAAATTTTCTTTTGTATTAACTTTTATTTGTTAGTGTTATATAGTTTTTGAAAGATTTGGTAAATATATTTAAAGTTTTTCTTTTTCTATAATATCTGTTTAATATGTCTAATATATGGACTATGCACCTATTAATCTCTTTACATTATTCTCTTTAGATATATTATAAAATAGTATTTAAAATCAGTTGTCAGCCACATGTGGTCTATATGATGCAACATGTTTGCAATTGTTGGCATGTCATTTAAAAATATGTAACTAATTTTGCTTTTTAATATTACCATTAAAATGACTTTTAAAATAATAAAATTTTTTATTTGTTTTAAAAAATACTGTTTTATTACTTACAATATAATATGTTATTACAAGATACTTCTGGCTTTTTCTCTGTTTCAAACCAGTTTAGTTATATCTTTTGTTCACAAATTTTATTAGACGCTATACACATAGTTTATAGGTTTAAACTGATAAATAGCACTTTATTGTTTTTGTTCATTTTAGATTAGTACAGCAAAAAATTAATAAGATAAAGTTTTATTAAACATAAATAATTTCTCAATTATGTCAAGTAACTTAAGAGCTGAAAATAGAAGAAATCGCCGAAATGAGAGAAATGAGGCCAGACGAGAAGAAATTAATCGTTGCTAAAATGAAAGAAATGAGGCCAGACGAGAAGCAATTAATCGTCGCCAAAATGAAAGAAATGAGGCTAGGCGAGAAGAAATTAATCGTCGCCAAAATGAAAGGAATGAGGCTAGACGTGAAGAAGTTAATCGTCGCCAAAATGAAAGGAATGAGGCTAGACGTGAAGAAGTTAATCGTCGCCAAAATGAAAGAAATGAGGCTAGACGAGTATTATTTAGGCGTGGAATGCATTGCATAGCAAGAAATAATATTTTTATAGAGAGTAATTACCTAGGAGAAATGAACCATAATTGTCAGTATTGTGGTGCTAAAATTTTTTTAAATGAAACACATTTTTTGTGCTGCCATTCAGGAAAGGTTGTCTTACCTCCACTTTCACCTTATCCACCGCTGATGTTTGATTTAATGACAGGCAACCATTTTGATCGTGCTTTGAATTAAAATTTTTTCAAGCATATACGAAATTATAATGCCTGTCTATCTTTTGCTTCATTCATAGCCACAATAGATCCTCCGTCAAATCGTGGTCCACCCTGTTTTAGAATTAGTGGGCAAATTATACATCGTATTGGTAATCTAAGACATCTGCAAGGGGATCCACCTGCTTATTGTCAATTATATGTTTATGATCCTAATACTGCTTTAAACTTTCGAATGGAGCAAAATGGTTGTTGCATACGTGCGTTAATGGAACTTTTGCAGACTATAATTAATCAGGAGAACCCATATGCGCTTGCATTTAAAAACATGGCAGAAGTTGAAGATGCAGAAATTTGTCAAGCTGCTATAGAAGGTCGACCGATTTCTGTTGTCAAAATGTCGTTGCTTGAGGGTTGTGATAGACGTCGATACAATCTTCCATCACATGAAGAGGTTGCCATTGTGTTTGTAGGAAATGATGGTGCTCCACCTCCATCTAGAGAAGTTGTTTTTTATCCTTGAGGTCAACCCTTAAAAACAATTTCAAGTATGTCTGCAAATCTAGATCCAATGATATATTCAATATTTTTTCCAAGAGGTGATGCAGGATGGCATGATCAACTAGAGCACAATCCTGACCGAGCAACACGTGTTCAAAATCGTGTTACTTTGTCTCAGTACTACAATTATAGGCTTTCTATTAGACAAACGTTCACTCCTATATTTTATGGTTAGAAACTTTTTCAACAGTATGCTGTTGATGCCTATGTCAAGATTGAAGGACAGCGCCTTGCTTGCATCAGAAATAACCAAAACAAACTTAGAAGTGAACAATACGATACATTACATGAGTATGTAAATAATGTTGCAAATAACCTTAATGTAAGACCAGGTTCTGTTGTTATACTACCATCTTCATATGTTGGAAGTCCAAGAGCTTTAAAATAAAATTTTGAAGATGCAATGGCAATTATAAAGAAATATGGTAAACCAGATCTTTTTATTACTTTTACATGTAATTCAAAATGGAGAGAAATTACAGAAAATTTAAATCCAGGTGAGAGCGCAACTGACAGGCCTGATTTAGTTTGTCGCGTATTTAAGATGAAACTTAATGCTTCTTAGGTGATATTTTTAAACATGGAGTCTTAGGCAAAGTTGTAAGTCATGTACAGGCTATTGAGTTTCAACAACGTGGTTTGCCACATGTGCATATTTTATTACACTTTGTAAACGATGATAAGCTAGAAACAGCAGAGGATATTGATAGTTTAATATCAGCTGAAATTCCAGATCAAACTGTTGATCCTGAACTTTTTGAAATTGTAAAAACATATATGATTTATGGACCATGTGGGATTTTAAATCCCAATTCTCCTTGCATGAAAGATGGAGTTTGCACAAACAAATTTCCTAAAGAGTTTAATCCTTGCACTGTTGCAATTTTCAATGGTTTTCCTAACTACAGGCGTTTAGATAATGGTAGAGTAGTCATTATAAAAGGTAACCAAGTTGATAATCGATGGGTCGTACCCTATAACCCCTGGTTATCAAAAAAATACCAAGCTCACATTAATGTTAAAGCTTGCATGTCTATTAAGTCAGTGAAGTATTTATACAAATATGTCTATAAGGGGCATGATTATGTGAATGTGGTAATTAATGAAAGTGTTGACCATGATGAAATTAACACATATTTAGACTGTCGCTTTGTTTCCGCCCCAGAGGCTCTTTGGCGAATATATGAGTATTCCATAACTGATATGTCACATACTATTATCCGCCTTCAAATCCACCTTCCTGATAATCAGAGAGTATTTTTTAACGAAGGAGAAGAACAATTAGCTGGAATAGCTGCAACTCTTCTCAAAAATGGGTGCGCAATGCATGGCTTAATCAAACTTCCTGTTCCAATTTTGGAAACTAGCACATGTAATGTAACTCCAAACTCTATTCGTAGTAGATTCCTGAGACAAATCAGTTTGTATTTACTTGATGAAGCATCTATGATACCCAAATATGCTTTGAGTGCCATTGATAAGCTATTACATGATATTTGTAATAACAACTTTCCTTTTGGTGGTAAGGTTATTCTTATGGGTGGAGACTTCAAACAAATACTTCCAGTTGTGAAGCGAGGTCGACCAGCAGAAGTTATAGAATCATGTTTAAAATGTTCTGAAAATTGGCAATATGTGCAAAGGTTCTCATTAACTGTAAATATGAGGGTTCAGATAGAAGAAGAGGATTTTTCTCAATGGCTTTTAAAGCTTGGAAGTGGAACATTACCTGTCAAGCCTGAAGATCCTTTGCGAGGGTGTATTGAAATACCTGAGCAGTGCTTTCTCAGTGATAATGAATCTATTGTGGAGAAGATTTTCGGTGGTGCAGAAGAAGCTGATTATGCAAAACGTGCTATTTTAACGCCAACAAATGTTGATTCATTGGCAATAAATGAAGAAGTCCTTCATCGTTTACCCGGTGATGTGAAAACATATTTAAGTTCAGATAGCATTGATACTGATGATCTTAATGAAATTAATAACTTTCCAGTCGAGTTTTTAAATAGTTTGACTCCATCAGGTATGCCTGTTCATTGCCTAAAATTAAAATTTGGTGCTGTTATAATGCTACTTAGAAATTTAGATCTCAAAGGTGGGCTTTGTAATGGAACCCGTTTGATGGTGCGTGCATTACACAACAATTATATTGATGGTGAGGTTTTAACAGGTGTAAAAGCTGGTAACAGGGTATTTCTTCCTCGAGTTCAATTAGCTCAATCAGATGCAAATTTACCTTTTACACTTAAACGCCGTCAGTTTCCAGTTAGGTTAGCATACTCAATGACCATAAATAAAAGTCAAGGTCAAACATTTGAAAAAGTTGGTGTTTATCTCAAAAAGCCTTGCTTTTCACACAGCCAATTATATGTTGCATGTTCAAGAACAAGATCATTTAATAGTTTGTTTTTCAAAGTTGATAAACATCCATTACAAGGTATGTCATTTAACAAACATTACACAAATAATGCTGTCTTTACAAATGTTCTTAATTTATAATTTTGGCAAATATATTATGTGTTATATGTGTTTTATATTTTTTGTATGTTTTTTTTTTTTTGCCAAAATGAAAAATCATTTGGCAAAAAAAAAAATAGTTTGCATTGCGTCAACCTCTCCTTAATTTTTAATCTACAGCAGTTCCGTTAATAACAATTTTTATATATTTTTAAAATTTCGATATTTGATGTGTCAGCATGGCCGAGTGGTTAGCGCACTAAGCTTCTGAACGTAATAGTCATGGTTCAACTTTACCACCAGCGATTTTTTTCTTTAAATTACAAAATATTTGTGTAGTTAAACAAGTTAAATGTTATACACTTTAACCGTTTTTTCTTATTAAAGTTTATAAATTTTTTTAAAACCTAACCCTAACCCTAACCCTGACCCTAACCCTAACCCTGATTTCTAAAAACACCAATAAACGGGGCGAAAATTTGTTGCGTGTCTGTCACGATTTTGATACTGTTCTCACATAATTGGTCCTAATAAGCTACGGATAGTCTTAAAAAAAAGGTCTTAAAACCTAATGAAGAAAAAATTTGATAAAACCGTCCTGCTACTCCACATGGTATTGCAGTGGAGGCAGGGAAAAAAAAAGCAATTAAAAGGTTTTTTGTTATATTTAATTTTTTCCTAAAAATATATAGCCAGATTAAAAAAATTAAAAAAAATGTATTGAGATTTTTTAGGCGCGGATTTGAAGCCTTGCACAGCGACTCTGATGAATCCGCACTTAACTTGCGAGCTATCAAAGTTATGCATGTAGTTTTGCGCTTCAACATTTTTTTAAAAATGTAAAATGAAAACAAAATAAATACCATAAGTAAGAGCTAAATAATAACGTTTAAAAATTACCAAACTTTTTGTTATATTATTATTAGTTTTTTAACTTTTAAACCACAAAATTTATAATTTATTTTTTTGGATGACTTTTGACGCTTTAAGCGACTAACGTTTTAAAGAATTGCATTACCGTTTCCGTCTATTACAAAGGTAACTATAAAAGACCGTTATTATTCAAAACTAAGCATATATTAATAATAATAATAAATATAGTAAATAGTAACTATTGAAAATGGCTAGGACGCGACCATAAACCATGGTCGATGGCTGGTCTAAAAGTAGGAAGTAGTTTAGTTCAGAAAATGTTTTT